CTGAGCCTGGCTGTCACCAGTCCCACCTCTCCCTCCCTGGCCCAGTGCAGGGTATGTTTCAGGGTGTTCTAGGGGAGGAAATTGGAGTCAGCTGTTTTTCTCATCTGTAAAATGAGGATGCACTCTATAAACCACCTGATTATCCAGCTTGAGGATTAAGGGAGAGGATGCCTAGAGAGGATTAACACAGGGCTTGGCCCTAGTGAGCACTCACAGTGGCTCTTACTATTTATTCCATATTGTAATTCATGGTATCTGAGAGTTGATGTGGCGCTGAGGACGGTGAAGGATGTGGAGGAAGTGGTGGGATCGTGATGAAGGCCGTGGGCATCTCAGTCACTTGTGCATTGCATAGGCCAAGCGGAGCCTTTCAGCAGACCCAGTGAGAGGGGTGTTAGAAAGAGCTCTCTGGTGGCTGCAACACACATAGAGGCAGGGACTCAGCCATGCACTGTTGCAAGAGCTGGCAGTGCCCCGCCCAGGCAAGGGCAGAAACAGGTGGACGTGAGATTCCAGAGAGCACTTCCTCCATATCTGTGCCTTGGAGGGGTTTAACAGTAACGCTGTAGCTTTGGGGACCGCACCCCCACCCCCATTCCTCTCATTCGTGGTGGCCTCTGGAGGACCTACTTCTGCCAGATCCCTGAGGCTCTGCAGTAGGCGCGGCATGGGGATTCCCGCTCTGTGTTGGCGAAGGAGGCGCCTTTCTCCCACTTTCCTCTCTGGCCTTCTTCCATCCCCAGCGTCTACCCCACTGGCCGACAGATGAGTACAGCAGGATGCGGGGAGCTTCCAGGGTCCCCCAAGGCTTTTGGATTGCCCCAGGTCACCCCACTCCCACTTCCCTTGCACAGCACCTGTAACTGCTCTGTGCTGTGTGCTCACCACGAGTGCCTGTACCCTCCTGCACAGCCTGTGACAGAGGCAGGCCTGCAGCCCACCGGCCTGTGGTCACCAAGGAAGGACCTGTGCTTGACATCCCTCCAGGGCCGACCAGAGACATAACCTCTCCTTCTGTGCCTCCTTTTCCCCAGAACCTGAATATCCAGGTAGAGGACATCCGGATCCGGGCCGTCCTCTCCGCCTTGCGCCATCGCACCCCGGTCACAGAGGGCTACGTGGAGGTGAAGGTGGGCAAGTCCTGGAAGCAGATCTGCGACAAGCACTGGACGGCTAAGAACTCCCATGTGGTCTGCGGCATGTTCGGTTTCCCTGGGGAGAAGACGTACAACACCAAGGCTTACAAGTAAGAGGGCTGTGCTGGCCAGGGGCTTCCTGGGCTTGTGTCCTCCCTGCTTCTCCTGGCGATGGACGTCCGTGGCCTGGCATCCCTCCAGCAAGAGCCTTAGCTTTGAGGAACTCACAGTCCCATGGGAGGAGGCCCCAGACGCCTGAGATAGTGCAGAGCGAGGGCAGTTTAGACAGATCCCACTTCTCTGTGCTGACAGCCAGGTAGGGGACCACATGGGCCAAACAAGGGCCAATCTCAGACTGGGCAGGGCAAGCTGGCACTGACTTTAGGAGAAATGTTTACTCGTCCTCAGCAGTGTATTCTGAGCAATCTGGAGCTGGTGGCAATTGCTAGGTAATTGAGAAACTGACCAATTCAGTTCCTTTCACTGAAGCCTGCCCGTGTTATAGTGCCCAAGGTTAATACCTCCCAAGGGGAAAGAGGTGATGACAGGACTTCCTTACTTAACCTGAGGGTCATCCATACTTTAAATCATCTCAAGATCAGGTACAATATCCAATGCAGGGTGCTGTGTAAATTATTGTCGTACTTGTACTGTTTGGGGGAATGGAAAAGTCTGCACCTATTCGGTACCAACACTCTCTTCTCTAATTGTTTTCTCTCTGAAGTTGGTTGAATCTGCCCATGCAGAGCCCAGGCTATGGAAAGCTGGTTGGTAGTGGGGTTTTCCTGTCTCCTCTGTGGAATTACACCAATAGCAGCTTCTGCTGAGTGCTTACCATCTGCCTGGCACTGCCTGGCCCTGAATCCTGGCAACACCAGCGGGGATTAGAGGTCTATTCTAGAGATGAGGATATGGAGAATTAATAGGTGGAGACATGGGGAGGCCCGAGGCATGGAGAGTGCGTGTTGGTAGCCCTGGGACGATCACCTTGGTGAATGTGAGCCACCAGACAGGGCCCAGAAGGTGATGGTCCCAGTGGTCCCACCAGTTGGCCAGCACCTGCCCTAGTAAAGGCAGCTCTTCCTACCCATGGGAGCCAAGAAAAGCAAACTTCTCCCCCAACAGGCTGCCCTCTGGACTGGCTCTCCAGGTCCCGCAAGCTGGCCGGAGGAGCACATGGCTTGTTCACAGTTTGAAAGCTGGGATTGAACCTCCTGTCCTGTTCTTTCCACCGCCCTGTCTGGTTTTGCTTTTGGAGGAGGGAAGGGCCTTGAAGAGCAGGAGGGGTACAAGGTGGCAGTGGCAGGCACTGTCCCATTGTGATGGGCTACGAGTGACACGTGCCTCTGGAAACCAGTTCCTCTTCCGGGTGGGAGGCCACAAAACCCAGTTTTTCTCTGTCATTTTGGTAGTCTTTGGGGTGACATCTGCTCCAACAAGAAAGGGAGGTTTCTGATCTTTCGTGGTGCCGCAGGGGCTGGCTTAGCTGGCACAGGCTAGAGGAGCTCGGGACAAAGGCCCTGGGTGCGGCAAAGCCACGGAGATCTGCCTCAGTCCTCAGAGGAATTGGAGACCCAGGGGGCAGTGGCTCAGTTCCCTGCTATTCCTGCAGAGCCCCAGGAAAGCCCAGGACAGCTCTAGGATGATTCTGGTCCTCCCTAGGAGCCCGGGAAGCTCAGCAGAGCTCATCTGGGGACAGATCAGAAATTGAGGTTCACAGAAGCCCTGAAGCCAATCCTGAGGGCTGGCCAGGCCAGCAATCTTTCCCATCTCCTGTCACCCTTCCTGTAGCCTGCAACTGCTGTTGCTGACATCGTTCGGGTGAGGCCTGAAAATGGCTTGTGGCTGGAGGAAAATTGTTGTGAAGCAGCTCCCAGCCCGTATATGGAGTAATCTCCCTCCATCCCTCCAGGCCCCTATGGACCTTATAGCCCTGCAGATTCATCTAGTCACCTCTGGGGCTCTCCATCTTGGGGTCTCCCCCGTGTCCTGCAGGGGGCTCCCTCTGACCACCTGGCAACCTGCTGGCCACTCATAGACCTCAGTTTCCCCTACTGTCTCAGAGCCTCACTTCCTCCAACATCTGCAGATATCCAGAGCACCCCTCCTCCTGTGAATGGAGCCAGCATCCTCACCAAGTATGGCGTCTCCCTTTTCTGGCTTCTGTGCCCTGGAGCTGACAAAGCTTTTCTGTCAGGACCCGCAGCTCTTTGTAGTCCCTCCTCATCATTTTCTTCTCAGTGCAGGGCCTGAATATTGACTCTGGTTTACTGACGTGGCTGCTGAGTAGCGAGTCTGCGTTTGATGTCACAGCTCAGGAGTTAGGAAAGGATCTGACAGTTTGGTGGGTGGGCGAATGGAAAGGTGGCCCCGGGGATGCCATCTGAGAGTGGGCTGGTCTGATGTAGAGGAAGGGATGCAGATGGGGCTGGTTACAGTGGACTAGCATTCAAGGCCCACTCGCCCACAACAAGGTCTGGAAGGCACACCTGTCCCCGTGACACTTGTGAAGGATCCCCAGCAACTCAGAGCTCTGTCACACTTCTTCCCTAGAGGCTGGAGCTCACACTGGGCAAGGCAGCCACAGAACTGGAATCTAAATGTCATGGTAGTGATTCAGGACTGGAGGGCCCAAGTGGTCCCATTCAGCCACCGAGGCACGGGGCGAGGCTCCTGTAAGGGGCAGCAGAGTCAGGCAGCCATGAGAATACTCTCAGACTGCAAGACTTTGGCTGGGGGCGTTGACTGCTCTTTGAAGTAAGCTAGGAAGCCTGAGTCTGCCTTGCTCTGCACATGCGGATGAGCCCCAGGCAACTGAACAGTCACAGCCCCTCAGTCGATGCCCAGACCTTGCCATTTTACCAGGCCAGCACCCCAAAATGAAGGGGAGGTGGATCCCCTCAAGGGAGGGCCTCGGTACCCACCCAAGAGGTATGCTATTGCCCTTTTGCCAGCCTTCTCCTTAGGGGCCCTTTACTGGGATGACTGTGCTCTGGGGAGAAGGAAATAATCAGGCCTTTTGGTGATTAATGGACACTGGTTCCGAGCTGACACTTATTTCAAGAGACCCAAAGCAGCCTGCCAGTCAGAGGGGCTTGTGGAGCTTTAGCTCAAGTCTGCCTCATCATGGGTCTAGTGGACCCCTAACTCTACCCTATGTGATTTCCCCACTTCTGGAAAGCATCATTGGAACAGACATATGCACAGGTGGCCGGATCCCATGAAGTCTGGCTTCCCCTTTGGCTGGGGAAAGCCGTGAGGACTTCGCGTGTTCAGTGGAACTGGTCCAGCTCAGTGTTTCTACTACCGCCCTGCCATGGTCCCAGAGACCTCTTTCATGAGTGGGCTTAGGACTCCCAGATCATCATCTCTCCAATCTCCCTGCTGCCTCCCTGCATCCCTGGGGCTGGTCAGCTGTCAGAATGAATCACACTGGTGTGGGGAGGGGTGGTGTGGCTGGTGGAGGCCTGCCCAGGGTCAGGTGGGCGGTGCATTCCTCAGAGCTGATGTCAGATGGAATCGAGATGCCTGGGGAAGGCGGAAGAGAGTCTGGGGCAGCTCTGCATGCTGGGTCGCTTTGGAGAGCTCAGTATACTGTTCCTAGAGAGGTCAGTGTTCTCTGACAGCTGGAAGCAACAGGAATTTCCTGAGCCAAGGCCAACCAGCACGGGTCCGACCAGTCTTCACGCAGTTGGTGTTTCCTGAGTGTGTGGGGGTCAGGGGAAACAAGCTTCCTGGCAGAGGGGCCTTGCAGGAAGTGGGAGGTGCAGGCAGTGGTTCTTCGGATTGTTAACAGTCCCCGTGGAGCCTCTGCTCTATGATGTCACTGTAGTGAACACACTTCCAGAACTGTCCAAAATAATTTTTATTTCAGTAATTCTGTGTTGTACCTATAGATATACTATAATTGTCACAAGTCTTAAATTTGGATCAAGGAGAGATGATGATGGCATCTGGAGGATTTGCCCTTCCTCTATGTTTGTAACTCATTCACAAGGCAGATATTTCCAGAGCAGCTGGGCCAGCAGGGACAGGACTCCACTTCCAGCCCATCCAGGAGTCTGCCCAGGGTGCCCTTGGGTAGCTCAGCTGGCGGAGCAGAGGACTGGAGACCCAACCAGACCAGCCTGCCCAGAGTACCTGCACTTGGCAGCTGACAAGTGACTGCCTGGCTTTCTCTGACGTCTTGATGAGTCTTGCCAAGCAGGGACAAGTATGTGGGCCCCGGGAGGTGGACAGCACGCACACACATGTGGGTCCTCCCTTCCATCTCTTCAAAGCTACATCAGTCAAGGCCCAGTTCAAAGCCCACTCTTCTGTGAGGTCATCTTTCTCACTCCAGCCACAGGGATCCCTCCTGCTCTCATTCCTTTTTGTTTTTAGCCTGTAAACAAAACAGATTTTTAAAAATATAAATTTCACAAACACATCCTATTTCTGGACATTGTTTTACGTGCTTTGCAGGTGTTAGCTCATGTAGCTGCCACAGCACTGTCTGATTGCCTTTGCTTTCACAAGTGCTTTAAGAGTTGAGTAGGCCTGGGGCCTCTGGCATTAATGCCATTATTGTGCAACAGGGTTAGTTAGAGATGGCTTGCTTGTCTTTCTGCCCTGGGATGACATAGGCCCTCCCCCGATGCTGGATCTACATTCTGGACTTTCCAGCCTCCAGAACCATAAGCCAAATAAATTCTACTGTGTAAATGATCTCCTCTGTGATATTCCGTTATAGCTGCAGAACATAGGCTAATACACAGGACAGTCTTGTGACGTACATATTTATACTACTTCTCCTTTGGGCATGAGGAAATTGAATCCTCTTAACTTTCCTGTTAACCAGTGCATTATTTATTGGTTCGAGGATGTTTTAGAAGAAAAGAAACATCACCTTATCTTAATCCATATCCTCCTGCCTTTAGGAGAAAAAAAACATAATAAGGGACAATTTACGTGTATCAGAAATACAGGCTACAGGCTCCCTTAGGACAGGGCTTTAAAGCCTCAATCTCAGTGATTTTCTTGGGTAAAGATTTAATCTGAAATCAGCTGCAGAATTTCATTACCATTGTAGTTTCCACTGCAGAGAAATTTATTGGATTTAGCCGACAGACACCTTCTGTAAGACTGTTCTCACTGGATTTACACTTTTAATCTTGTCTGTCACCGGGAGAGAGTTTAGTCAACTTGTACTGTCCATAGATCCAGAGAAAGAAAGCTGGGTAATAACAAGTGGTGGAAATTGTGGTGAAATTATGGAAGGGTTTGTATAGCCAACACTTCAGGGAGCATTTCTGGACCGGGGACCTCACCTGTTTCAGATATTTCTTCTGCACTTTGTGTTTACAAGTTTCGTTGTTATTATTTCATCATGTAAGAGCAGGAGGCTGTGTGCACCCCCGGGGTCCTGCCCCCCAGTGCCCAGCATGAATCAGTGACCTGGGGTGCTGGCAGCAGCACTGGGCAGAGACCCCTGCCTAGGCAGCAGGGCTGAGTAGAGCCATGCCCATCTGGTTCTGCCCAGCTTTGCAAGGCATCTGGGAGGCACCAGGATGTCCCCGGTCACCTGGCCCCTTGTGCTGTCTGCAGAACACTCGCTACGCGGAGGAAGAAGCGTTACTGGCCTTACTCCATGAACTGCACCGGCACGGAGGCCCACATCTCCAGCTGCAAGCTGGGTCCCCAAGTGTCACGGGACCCCGTGAAGAACATCACCTGTGAGAATGGGCAGCCGGTGGTGGTCAGCTGTGTACCTGGCCAGGTCTTCAGCCCTGATGGGCCCTCCAGATTCCGGAAAGCCTACAAACCAGAGGTGAGGGTGGGGCAGGAGGTGTGGCCACTGGCACCTGGGAGGGATGAGGGGTTAGGTTAGTAGGAGCAGAAGGGACCCCAGGAGGGAGGAGGAGACCAGAGTCCCTTTGGGAGGGCAATCTCTTGGCCAGGAGGGTACCTTGGTGTTGGCCACCACTGGCTTCTTGTGCATGAGCAGATGGTTCAATGTGGATAGACTCCTGCATAGTTCCAGGAGGAGCAAAGCAGCTGGGACTCTTAGGGACACTGCAGCTCCCCACAACACGTGCCACCAGGTACAATGCTTTCAAATGTGTTTTGGCTTATTTTGCAGCAAGGAAGGATAGCAACTGAGGAAAACTTTTCCAAGATGTAAAAAAAAAAAAAAAAAAACCTGGCCCTAACCATGTCCAAGTCATGCTTCCGTTAGTCACACTATGTTTATGTGAACTAGCACCATGATGGGGGCACCCTGGGGAGGAAAGATCCAAGACAGTGTTCATCTTCCCATGCAAATTGGCCATTCCTTCCCCACTGACAGATTCCATGGGATAAATGAGTTCTTCCAAACGCAGTAGGCTTACCTTTCCTCCCTGTCTTCCTCCATAGTCCTAAAGGCCCATTAGCTTGTCTTTTTCCTGCTTTTCTTCTTTCATCAGCCTACCAAATGGTCCCTGTGATTTGTCTGTTCCAGAAACTGCTGGTACGGGGGCCAGTGCGGGAGGAGGCTGCACCTGGGAAGGAAAGGACAGGGAGGAAAGGGTGGGTCACTAGTCAATAGGCCAGATAAAACCTGGGTACTTAGTAGTTGTCACCTGGGCCCGGGGAATTCCAAGTTAGCTGTGCACTGGCCAGGCATGAGTGGGAGACAAGAAGAAAGACAGGCCTGGGGGGCAGTCCTGCTGGGGCGAGATTACGGGTGGCAGAAGCACTTCCTCTCCCTGTGTATCCTCCTGCCCTCTCTGCTTCCTGTCCCATGCGTCCCCCTTATCAGCACCTGCAGACCTGCTCTTGGGACAACTTCTCAAAGAGAAAGGTACCTCTCCCAGGCTGGGCAGGTGTTTGGACCAAAGCCTTAAATGCAGCCCTCGGCTTGCATATGGGAACTACTCCGTGTGGCTTCCTGCCATTCTGGGAGGCAGTGGTCCTGCCTCCTCAGTTCCCCTGGCCTCAGAAACGCACAGATGTGACCGTACCATCAGCAGCACCTGCAGCCAGGGCATGGCGCTCCTTCCCGGTCCTCCAGAGACCAGTCCTGTGCAGCCTCCTGCCCTTATTTGCCCCCTACCACATGGTCTGATGCCCACATCTGTCCCCACCCTGAGCCTGAGCCTCTGAATTTTCTTCGTGTGACCAGATCCTACTGTTTTGGAATTCCTCTGCTGTGAGGCTTAGAGCGAAGGAATCAAGTTCATCCCAAACCATCGAAAGGACAGCGGGAAGCTTACATCACATTTTCCTTGGTTTCCTTCTTCCCTCCAGAGCCAGCTGACTCTCTGCCTGACCACTGTTGAGCAGGCGGGTGAGGTTATTTGACACTTTGCCTCCTCGAGCTCAGGATTACGTGCTCCCTGGGAGGGCCTCGAGCCCAGCTGGACATCTTGGGAAGGCAGGTCAGGGAAGTGAGGGTCACAGTTCTGCAGAAAATTGGCTGGAGCCAGCAGTTTTTTTCATTGTTTTGTTTTGTAAAGTGAGAATAAACGTTCCTGAAACCATGGGATATTTTGTACTCCCATTTGCTCCCCTTTTTTCTGCCCCTAGTGCCAGGGTAAGAGTAGTCCTGGGGGTCTGTAAATTTGGGTGCTGCCCTAGAACCCCACCCTACCAGGTGCTGTCACAGAGGAGAGAAAGAGGGCCAGAAGATGAGGAGACAGCTTCATGTGAAGCCCTCGAAGTGACTGGTGGATGCGGATGCTTGAAATGCACCACCTCTGTCCGAGGCTGCCCCATCCCGGTCATCGGCAGGGACTGAGGGCTCATGAGCTAAGGACGGCATCGGCCAGGGTAGGACAGGGACTCTGGTCTGATCCGGCCCGAACAGCTGCACAGTCAGTGTCAGCAGTGGCTCAGCCTTCTAAGCCTCCCGCGACACACGTGCGCACGTGTGCCTGTGCTCACTCACATGCATGCAGGTGAGCGTTCACACACACACGTGTGCACAGAACACTTAGCAGGACCGTGTGTCTCTCCAGCAACCCCTGGTGCGGCTCAGAGGCGGTGCCCAAGTCGGGGAGGGCCGAGTGGAGGTGCTCAAGAACGGAGAGTGGGGGACGGTGTGTGACGACAATTGGGACCTGGTGTCGGCCAGCGTGGTCTGCAGAGAGCTGGGCTTTGGGACTGCCAAAGAGGCCATCACTGGCTCCCGGCTGGGGCAAGGTAAGGGGCAGGGCTGCTGCCCGGGGGCCTCTCTTCCCGGGACAGCATAGCCTCTCTGGCTCTTGAGCTTTCTCCTCCTTGTAGCAACTGCCAGTCCTTTAGGGAGGCCCCGGCCTCACCCAGACAGTCAGGGCTGGGAGGGGCCCTAGATGATGCCGGGCCCCCATTTTATGGATTTGGAAGTTGAGGCCCAGAGAAGGGAATAAATGAGGAAGGTTAGAGGACAAACTGGCAGGTGGTAAATACTCTGAACTGGGTTTCCCAACTCTCAACCCTGTGCTCTCCGCTGCCCCACCAAGGAAGCTGGGATTCGCAGGCCCTTCCCCCAGTCGAGGCCCTCAGAAGCCATCATGCTGTAGGCCACACTGGACACAAGAGAACCAGATGTCACCTTCCTTTCCACCCTGATACAGTGCCACATTGTCCCCATTAGCAGAGAAGGAGTAGGATCTCCCTCTAATGAGAAAGAGACTGGTGTTTATTAAGTGTACAGAACAAATCTACCATATGAGCAAAGAACAAAAGAAGAGGAGGCTTTCCAGGGGTTGATCTGTGGATGGCCCTGCTGTCACTGCGAGGTGACACAGAACAGGCTGCTTCCCTCCCCAACGAGCCCTCAGAGACCGCCCATCGTTGCCAGCCCCAGTCCTTCAGAAGGAACCTTCACCCAGACGCTCGGCTGCCCCAAGAGTGCCCAGCTGTGCCCTGAGAACTTGCCCAAGCAGGGGTCGTCATCATTTCCTGGAACGAGCTCGGCACCAACCAGCAGGGAAGAAGGTGCCTGGGTGGCACCTGAGGGTGGGGCATCCTGTGCTGCTGGGAGAAGACGCTCCTGTACTGTCACAGGTGGAAAGGAGCGTGGTGAGACCACTGCTCAGGCTGGCGGAGATAACAGTCCGCCTGGAGCCTGCACGGCACATGCTGAGGTTTCCTTGGGGGACACCCCAGAGTCCCGAGCTGCCCCATTTGGAGAGGTGCAACTCATTTGTCCAGTGTCTTGGTCCTTTCCACACTGTGCCATGCCCGAGTCTGCAGCGAGTCACCTCTTCAGCGGTCCCCTCAGGCTGGAGGGAGGCTCGGGTGGACTGGGGTGACAGTGCTGGGGTTGTAGACAGAACTGTGGGAGGGACCTCAGCTCCAGCCCGTCAGATGAGGAAGCTGAGGCTCAGGCTTCCCCAGTAGCCAGTGACAGACAAAGACTGACACCCATGGCTGACTCTGACCTGGCTTCCTCCTTCTGCCCCCTTGGCCCAGTCCCATGGACGTTTGGATGCTGTCTCAGCCTCTGTTCTTTCCTGCATCCTGGGTGTCCACAGAAGGTTGAGGTTAGGGCCAGAAGTGCCGCCTGACAGCCTCCATCAATCTTCCTTCTCCTACAGGCAAAGTCCACTCCACAGGTTGACTCACATGTGGGTTTGTGCTCTCCCGACCCCATAGGACCAGAGCCACTCGTCCAGAGGAATAAACAAGTAGTCGGTGACATGAATCCCTTTAGCATGGGTGGGTGCTTTATGACCTCATTATTTCCCCGCAGGCCTGGAGAAGCCTAGGAAAAAGAAGGCCTGGAAAGCCCTGATGCTGGCCTTGAAAGAGCCACTAGATGGCTCATCACCTCCTGCTGCGCTGGGTGGGCAACCTCAGTCGGCCCAGAGGAAAAGCACCACATTCAATGGCACGAGGCAGACAGGATCAGTCCTTCCATCCTGGCTTGTGATAACAGACAAAGCAACCACACCCACACTTCGACTGGCACATCCACTTCCCCCAAGTCTGAGCAGTGTGTGAAGGAGGGGCCTGCAGCCTTAGCGTCTGTGCCCAGCACATTGTGTCCCAGAGAAGAAAGAATGAGTGAACTAATGCATGGATGTGTGCCAGCAGGATAGGGTCGATGGAGCAAGCACTCAGTAAAGGCACTGTGACTTGCTCAACCTGCACTGCCCAGTAGAAATATAGTGTGAGCCATGTTTATGTGATTGATGGAATTAATTTTAATAACATATTTTCTTTGACCCTATGTACACAAGGTATTATGCTTTCAACATGCAATCAATAAACATGCTCCCAGTCTTTGGTCCCCAGATTCCTCAAGGATTCACAGGAAGGTTGCTGTGATGATTAAGAGTTACTCTCAGGTCACTTGCTGGATGCTCCTGCCTGCCCCTGCAGCGACCCTCCCTGCCCTTGCCCATGATGTCCAGTGCCCTGGAGGCATGCTTGGGTCTGGCCGAGCAGGGCACTGGCGAGCACCAGAGGTGGGTAGAGGAGTGGAGCTCCTATAGGTGACCTCTCCCCACCCCTCTTCTCCTCTCCCAGGCCAGATGCTGGCTTCTTCCTCACTTAAAGAAGTGCACTGAGCCCAGGGTTATTATCCTGGGAGCACTGGGCTCACCTTTGTGATTTCCCTACACCCCGTCCACACTTGTATTTTAGAACTTCTCTTTTCTAACTCAGATCCAGTTTGTGTAAGACATATGCAGGGGCGTGGCTGATGCAGTGACCGTGACCCCCTTCTGATGCATAAATGCCTGGAACGTTGGTACTAGGGAGGACACTTAGGTATCTTCTAATGTGAGAGGCCAGGGAGGCTGAGCGATCTGGCCAGGGTCACCCTGCAAGCTCATCCTGGACTTTATGTGCTCTTGGCAGAGGTGAATCCCAAGACAATTGGCAGTGTTGTCTCCAGGAACAAGAACCTGGGTCCCTGGGCGGACTCCAAGGGGGCCGCTGAGAGTTGGAGGGAGGGAGAGGCAGCTTCTTATGTCAGGGAATTTGTTGCCAGTTCGGAGAGTCCGTCAGAAGTTCTCCTGGCGTTCACTTCTCCCTTACTAGGGATCGGGCCCATCCACCTGAACGAGGTCCAGTGCACGGGGAACGAGAAGTCCCTCATCGAGTGCAAGCTCAACACCGAGTCGCAGGGCTGCAACCATGAGGAAGACGCAGGGGTGCGGTGCAACATCCCCACCATGGGCTTCCAGAAGAAGGTGAGGGTGTGGTGGTCCAGGGGGACCGGACCACTTAAGGTCTGTGTAGAGAGCACAGACCAGGAGACCTGGCTCTGAGGGGTCCTCTGAGATGTGGGACCTTAGGCTCCACCACTGTCACTATGAATGTTGTTGCCATTCTGGATCTGTAAACAAGCTTATCACAAGACGTGTGCAAGTTCTCTCTCCTTTGTGGCAGGTGCCTGACAGCCACTGTGGGCCACGCCCTACTCTGGGGCTGGACACAGTGTGGTAGCATCTTAGTCCTTTTTGCAAGGGACACGAGGCCTCCCGCCCCATCCATGGGATGGGCCCTTGCCAGGGATCCAGAGGCACTGCCTGGAAAGTGGGTCTGCAGGCCACAGATGCAAGCA